ATTTCCATGTATAAATAGTGATTATTCTCATTCTGTTGTATACTCGTCAGTTGTTTTCTGTAGTTTATCTTCATCTTTCCAATGTTCGAGACACTATTTTTAGGAATTAGGAAGATGTTGTTGTTTACAATTTACACATTTTGATTTTGTGTAAATTATACAACTATTTTCTTGATGCTGGTCATCACATCTTTGACATGTTTTATTAACCGACCTCCAGTATTTCGATCATATTTAGATTATTGAAGCGACTCGGTGTTTGGTTTTTCAATTTTAAAATGTAAATAATCGATTTTTAATTTCATCTTTAAACATGTATCTCTGTTTAATTTATCAATCAATGCTACTATGAACTTTTTGTTAGTTTATTCTCTCTTTTCATTGTTATTCACTCACCAAAAAAAATTTTGTTTAGCAGAAACTCTTTTCTGAATTTGAAAAAATTTCATACATTGTGATGTATATTCTGACATATTGTGCTTTATTGTATACATTGAGAGAGATGGTCAGCGATTCAAAGAAAAATGATTAACGATGCCAACACATATGGCAGAATATTGTGGAGCCATACATTTTAATAAGATGCTTTATTTGCTACATAAGCAATAAACATTAGGATTATGAAGAGAAAGAAAGATACGTTTGGAAAATCGCTAAAACAAGAGAAAAACCACAAAGAATTTGAATTTCTGTATTATCCGGTTAAAAGGTACTTTTATTTTTTTAATGATAGTATTTTTGTAATAATGTAAATGTCTCAAAAGTTGTTAAACTTTACAATGAAATAAAATTAATAATAATAATAAAGAATAAAATTAGAAAAGATCTCGGGAAATTAGCAGAGTGAATCTCGAGAGGAAAAAAGACAGAAAAGATTTCGGAAAAATGTCAATTAAGCATTTCTGCATAAAAGATCTCGGAGTAATGAATAGTCTAGAAGGAAAACATGTGCATAAAGCACATTATTATGAAGTCATAACATTTTCAACTTCATTCTAACTGTAAACTTAAAAATATTACGTCATACGTGGAATGAAGTGCTCTTACGCCACAATGAAAGCGATTTATCAGATTTCATTAAAGATCAACATGTTTGTCTTTATCGAAAGGAAACATTTAATATCGGAATATCGATTACATATGAATGTTCAGAATACAAAAAGTATCCATTGTGTCAGTTTCAATTGAAAGCAAAAGAAAGTTCAGATGAGTATCAAGTCTATTCGTCGGAAGTACACGCGATCAAACAAGTTGTCTTCCCTGCAATAAGTTTCACATTGAAGAATCGTTTTGCCAAAGACTGCACTATTTGGAATGTCTAATATATGCGGGTGTGACAACTTTTGCTATTAATTAATTAATTAATTATTTCGAGATCTTTTCTGCATAAATAGATAAATTTATTTTTCCAAGATCTTTTCTGCAGAATAAAAAATTAATTTATATCTTCCTAGATCTTTTATGCAGAAATTCTTAATTGACATTTTTCCGAGATCGTTTCTGTCTTTATTTCCTTCCAAGATCCATTCTGCTAATTTTCCGAGATCTTTTATTTTCATGTCCAATAATAAAATTAAAATATATATTTTTGAATTTTAAACCAATTATTTCTAATACAAATAGTATCTAAAAGAAGAAAAAAATTATCTGCAAGTAACGGAAATATGTAGATGATGTCAACTACTTCCTGGAAGCAAAATCACGGAAGATAAACTAGTCATGGTTGGAACTGGAACCAAGGACTTTTGTGACAATTTCGTAAAAACAGCGAAACATTTACCGTTTTTCCATACTTAAGTATATTTTTTCCAGGACTGAAAAACTTTGGTCCCGCCCATAGCGAAGATAAGCTTCTATGTACGGCGGCTAAAGCCACTTTATCCTCTCATTATTTCCAGTTAGATCGATTCCATATCGTCTTTTATAAAGATTTCTCCAGTAGATTATTAATTTTGAAACAGTGACAAAAGAAGAATTGATAAAGAAACTATTAGAAACTTTCTTTAATCTTTGCAAAGCTTTTGCTGTTTGTTTGTTTCATTTTTACGTTTTAGTTTTGTACAGAATTGATAGCTACACGTAAACTGTGAATGGTTCGGCTTAGTAAACGAAGCAAGACGGAAAGACTCCCTTATGTTGGACAAATTTTTGGAATTTTTTAAAATTTTCTTCATCACTGGTTAATGAAAATGATGTGACACTTTATTCTTCTTTTCCAATAAACAAGTCGTCACGATAATGTCGTTCGCGGAGATGTCCATGTATTGAAAATGATGCGTCGAAGTCCTGACATAGATTTCTTAGTGTAATATTTATACCGTTAAGAGCTGTATTGAACCTCATTTTTATCGAAGTTAATGAACTCTAATTGCATATGGCTACGCAATTTTACTAAAGATATCATGGGAACATACATTTTAATACGCAAAATCTAAAAGCACATCGCAAGTTTTCTTTTTACAATTTCAGAATATTGTATACGATATCGTGATTTCGACAACTATGGAATGATATATTGGACATTATTCTCTAAAATTAGCTGGAAGCAGTTTCATTTTAGACAACATTTCTACGTTGATAAAGCTTTTTCGTCATGATTTCAATTTAACAGATGGTACTTGTTTTGATATGTAACAGTTATAGCAACACTATTCGATGTATTATTCATTATATAAGAAAATATAACGTATGCTCAGTGAGCCCTATACATGTACGATGATAAAAAGATTACACCTACTTTCACACAGAATTCGAAAAACTCGCGAAGTTTTCTAAAAATCGATTTTTAGAAAGAATTTCCCCCAGAAATGAAATAGTTTTCGAGCACATGTGAGAGAACCTTCACAATAACGAGTCTATAATATTTAATAGCAGCGGTTTGGAAGGTATTTAATAGCTGTGCTAATTTTGAGAATAAAATATTTTGTGCATGATTATAATGAGGGCATTTAAGGAAAAAATGTTTCGTGTCCTCAACTACTTCAACGGACGGTGAAAAAACTAAGCAGTTTTCGCAAAGACTGTTGGAGACAAGTTTATGCTGCTTTAGATGATGTTTTAATGCAGAGAAATCGACTCTTAGTCGACAAAATAGCGCATCAATTCTCCGATTCAGCAGACAGGGTAATTTGTTTGCAGGAGGTAACAAGTGGTTTTTAACTTCCATGCGGAATTTATAAGGTTTCGATTTATTTTGAAAGTCAGGTCTTTGTGAAAGTGGCTCAGTCCACTCTTTGATAGCAGCTGGAAAGAAAGAATTCTGGAAGAAAACACTCTTGTCTCTATAGTCATACAGTTGCTGGCTGTTGTTGTTTCTTAAGGAATATTTCGTGTTCTTTGCTTCAATAAACTTAAAGTATTGATCGGGTGTCCCAATTAGTCCAAAGTAATACTTAGAAAACGCACATTCTATTGACAAAGAACAAATTAGAAAATGGTAACTAGCCTTGATCCTTGATGAATAGTTAATAATTTTTGAAACAGGAATTGTTGTATGTTCACGTAAATAGTTCATAACAGACGCTTCATTTGTCGTACGTCTATGTTCCCAGTATCGACGAGGATTTGATACTTTTAATATCAATTCCGATGTGTTTTTATTTGAGATTAATTGTGTTCATGCGCTTCTCCATTTATTAGTGTGAGTTCATCGTATAAAATTTATTGGCTTTCAAGAGCACAGAGTGCCAAACAGAATTGTGTACAGAAAGATAACTGAGCATATTGAAGCAAAATAAGGAGTGGAAAGCCGGAAGCCGTAGACACAGAGTGCATATATATGGCACACGGAGCACTAGCCAAAGCTGAAGAGAGCGTCCGTACCACGCGGTGTAAGATACTGCCGACGGGCGCAACGAAGCACTGACTAGGCCGAAGCGGGCATTCGTTCCGCCAAAAGTGTAATTGCGCATATGCATTGTATTGATTTGAAGTTCGATAGCATGTGCACTACGTTTGAATTGCCTGCACGTCATGAAATCGTTTACTGCACCATCAGGTAATTGTTTAATGCTTTGTCTATTGGCGCACTGAAAGTGAGTTCTTATCAATATAGGAGGCAGTAAAACCGAAAATGTTGTTGAAGTGTAAGAGGTGGAGGGGCGGTGGTGGAGATACTTTGAATGATAGAAAATTATGTAAAGTGATTCAAGTAAAGAAATTCTCTGTAACTAAGAACGAACTGTTGTTAACAATTGAGGCAGCCGCTAAAATACGAAAATGGCAGATACGTTCGTTCTCGCATGAACAACACTTAATACATTTACATTAACTAACTATTTTGAGTATAAAATCTTGGATTAATAACAGCACCAACTTCTTAGCGTCATACATATGAAGGTTTATTTTATCGTCAACTTTAAATTTCACTAGTTGCTCCGGTTTTTTGTGTAACTCTCCCTAAGGAAAAGTACTATGTTTTGAGTATAAAATCTTGGATTAATAACACCACCACCTTCTAGTCGTTCAAATTCTGTACAATAGAGATCGAATGGCTGAAGAACATTATTTAAACTATCTAATGAAATTTACAGTTGTAACTGAGGATGTTAGCAAATAATTGCAATCGAGTAAAAACGTCGAGTAGTGCTTGGAACCATACCATTAGAGTGTATAGAAATGATTTTATTCCAATAGAAAAAAAACAAACACATACGAACGAGAAAAGAAAAGTAATCACAAATGTATATGAACTATGTACAAGATAATATGATTCACGAAAAAGAAAACAGTAGCACAAATAAACCGGTTTAAAGTATATTGCTTCTTCTGTTATGAAATGAACACGAAGTTTTGATTAATTTAATACATTTCGATAGATACACACAAAACACGGTATTTATACCGAACAGCGTAACGGCTTTTGCACGCAACTAACAATGACTAACAGAAAAGTAGATAGTTTAATCGGAGAAGTCATGCTTTCGAACGAAGGTTTCCGTTGCTAAGCTTTTATTAAATGGAGACCACATCCTACACTTACATGCGATTTTTATGCTTCTTCATAAGAACGAATATTCAGTTATCGTTGTATCCTTGACAATGGTGTAGGATGCTGCAGATGCTATTCCACACATGGTCTTTTTATTTCGTGCCATTTTAATATAACCTTTATCATCCCAATGTTCCGACCAACTAGAAAACAACTGATTAATGAGAATCTTTCTCTTTACGTTAGTAAAACAAAAAATACCTATTTTTGACAATATAATATTCTTGTTTTCCTTTAATGGGATCATCAGCAACGCCATAACCAACAGCTAAAACACAGTGATCAAGCTCTTCTGATGAACATTTTGGTTCAGAATAAACACCTACAAACGAAAAACAAATATCAGAATGATATATGTATGTCCAATAAAAAGTCATGAATTACTCTTCTCTAGTATGCCGAGCCTTATACTGAGCAGTCACATAAACTGAAGAGCTGTAAACAAATATCAATCATAATGCAGCAGCATTTCACACTATACATACATACCTACTGAAGCAGAGCTTTAAAAACAAATGAATGTTTTTTGCTTTTCAATATACTCGATGGGGACAGCCTTACCTGATGTATAAAACTGAAATGATTCTTGACTGGAATCAATTGCAACAGAAACAGGCCCTTCTAATACAAGTGCTTGTTGTAAAGCTGTTTCATTTCCTTCTGGTATATCGACAAATCCATCACATGTTGTTGCAACAGATTTTCGACGAAATTTGCATGATACTTGATCCTTTAAACACATAAACAAAATCTTCTGAATTTTTTATTCAATCTATTAAAGAGATAGAACACAGAAAAAGAAAATCGATCTATTGTTGCTCAGGATTTTCTGACGTGTTCCTCTATGGGTTTTCTGGAAAACCCCAGTTTTCATCCAGCCACATTGGGGCTTCCCCCCTGTAACGGCGCAACGCCATTACATTATTCTCCATGCTTGATCTTATCGCAGTTTCTAGAAATTCTTAAAACTTCGAAGTTTCGCGGGTTTTAGTAAGAGAGATAATAGAACAAAGAAATTACTTATTATTTATTAATTTAATACAAGTTGTTTCCAGGGAACAAAACAAAAAACAAGTGATAATTGAAAGTAAATTTCGATTCTTTACTTTTTCTTGTCAATTTTCAACTTCAAATTCAGACCTCTTCTCTCCTTCTTCTCGTTCTCTCTCACATTTATAGAGAGAATTTTTCTGATTAATCTTCAAATTCACACTATCTCTTCTTCTTCTTTTATATACAGAGAAGCAGGAGCTTTCCTAATATATTTTAGTACTTAATATAAATTAAACTTTACATTTAATTTATATTTAATATTTCTATAATTTAGTATTTGCGTTTGTAATACTTATTTTCATTTCTCCTTCTTTACATCAGCATCACGATTTCCGCCACCTCCTCTCAGAACAACAAAGAAGAACATTAGCTATATTATTGAACTTTAACATTGTACAAATAGTTTTTTGTACAAAACTTTTATCGTTCAACTAATAATAATTGTTGCTGCTGGTAGAATAGAATTGGGTGTTGTTTGTGAAGCTGTTAGTAGGGCCTAATTAGCACCACACACCCCCCCCTTATTTTAAAAACCTTCTCACACCGAAAGTTTAGATCAAAAACGCGTTTAAAGAAACGAACCTGAGATAGGGTCTAAAGTATTCACGGGAAAAATTTCAGCTCAATGAGACCATTTTTTCGAGGGGTTGTAACGTGGCTGCATTGAAGGAGATATCGAAAAAACGAACACTGAGAAAATTTTGTGTATAGGTTACTGTTTTTCTGGGTATTTGCCTGAATGCCTATATCTCCGGAAAAACTCAACTTATTTTGATGAGAAGACTCGCCTCTATTCGACTGTGTATAAGAAAAAATTTTGCAGGAAAGGAAAGAAAAAATAATGAAACTGAAAAATTGAGTTTTCTCAGGCTTTGAAGAAAAACTTCATATTTGACTTCAAAAACTTCAAAAAAAAAAAGTTCATAACTTCTCTTCTTGAAGAAAGGTCGTGGAATGCTGGAAGCGGTCTGATTTTGTCGCCCAGACTTTGCTCTACATCAAGATATGTTTAGCCAAAGTCAATTTTTTTCAAAAATGAGGGGAGGGGTACCCTTAAATACTAATGAGCAGCGAATGATGTTCCTTTTTTCCTAAGGAAGTAAGGCCTAATTAAAAGCTCTGCTCCATCAGTCCTCGCAGAATTTTATGCTCTTTCGATTAAAAAAATATTTCTCTCTATGGTGAACCGTTATTAAAAGGAATCTACAGTAGACGAGGTTAGACAAAAAAACGTGTTTTGAGAGAAAACGCTGTGCATTCGTTGGTCTATTCTAGGACATGTAGGAAAATGCTTGTAATTTTTGAGCGCAAGATCATACACAGTTGTGCAACGTCTTATTTTGATCAAAAAAGTCTGCTTTACAAATCTATGTGTTCAGAAAAAAATTATTATTTGAAGATCCGGGTTTTCAAGGCGTCTAGAAAACTTGGTCGAAAACCACGAAAAATCAGTTCTAGGCCGGAAAGCGATACAGATTCTGAAAGCAGACACTCCATGCTATCTTTCCATGTAGTAGTCTCTAAATACATGATTTTTTGATACAAAAAGATTTCATTCTCAGGCGGGGGAGGGGCCCTTAAGGAGATTCCCACTCAGAAATTGATATTTATCATAAAAAGTAAAAATTGAGTTCCTTGCTCATCTGTATCGCTTTCCACGAAAAAAATGGTTTTGATAGTATATATCACACTTCTATGTTGAATATTACATCTGCTGCCATAAAAGATCTTAAGTGAATTTCAAAAATCGGTCAAACACGATTTGAAATCTAGATGTCTACTTTCATTTCAGACCATCGACATAGCTCTAGCCGTTCTGGAAAAAAGGAGTAACATTTTTGCTGAAGATCCTTTTTTGACGCTTGTGATACCTGTTACTCCATAAAATTTCGACCTTTTGATTGCAACTTTTAGCATAGACTATTTAGGTGATAAGTACTAACTTCTGTAAGTTTCATTAAAAACGGATATAATTAAAACATGAAAGATTTTTTGAGGGAGCCTCGTTAAATGTAACTACTATTAATGTTTGAGCTACTTGAGCAACATCACATATTCACATTCAGAATCTGACAAACAGTATACTGTTTGTAAGGAAAAGAAAAGAATCATCTATAGATGATTCTTTAGTGACTCGCCCATCTCTGCCTGACACCTGGATCTGACAAACCTATCTAGTTTTTTGTCTGAAGAGCTTTGCCCGGCTTTCATGTATCATTCGAATCGTCAACTGCCAGGGAATATAAGTATGTATCAGTTTTGTAAAATTTTGTTTCCTCGTTGAGAAAAGTTACCTTTACTAGGAAAAATCGAAATTTTGCCTCTAATTCGCAATTTTCTCCATCAGAACTCAACTTTTACGCAATGAAAGTATCATATTCGGAATCAGCGTCAAAAGTCGAGTCGAATGATACATATTTCAAAATTTTTCGTTGATTTTCATTTTTTGATGAAGATCCCAATAATTAATCGACGTGAAAATTCAAAAAAAATTAAAGTGACTGAATAGAATAAAAAAAAGTACATCATTCGACTAAATTTTTGACGCTGATGTTTCGCTATTAATTGCAAGATCATTGATTTGTTTTCGAATACTAATTGTAGTATATCTGAGAATAAGTTTGTTTCATTATCCCTATATAGAACAAAAGGATAAAATATGAAAAGAGAACGGAATTATCATAGAATGGAGAACGGAAAATTATTTTTGAAATTTTTTGATTTATTGGAGAACGGCATTGAAAAGAGAACGGTTAAAATATTTATTTTCCAAAACATCGAAAAAAGAACGGATTTACTAATAGCTACAAGGATCTTCTTGACAGAAAACTATGACATGACCGCGCGACGGCTAAACTAACAAATATCCACTGGCCATGCAGTTAGTTAATTCATACATAATAATGTTCACAAAGAAGAAAGTCACACTACGTAAACTTAATTATGTTGTGTAGTTAATACTCAGGCTTACTCAGATGTAAATATATAAGTTTTGCATGATAGTCGAATTTCTATCAATCATTGGGAGAGGCTTAAAGAATATCGCGAGAATAACCTGGTTACTAATTAATTAATTAATCCGTCCTCTTTTCAACGAAAAAACCGTGCTCTTTTCGAGCTTTTTTATTCCGTTCTCTTTTAATTAAAAATTTTGATGTAATTATCAAACCGTTCTCCATTCTATGCAAGTTCCGTTCTCTTTTCATTTCTTGTCCAGAACACAAATACATTTGCTATGAAAGAAAAACAACTTGACTTAAAGCAATTTACTATGATTTATCTCGTAGTATTACTGATCATGGCAAATTGCTATTTATTCAGTATCTTTTATATATTGTATTAAATACAATATATAAAAGATACTGAATAAATTGTCTTACTCTTCTTTTTGCCATAGTGAACTTCTTTCTCTTTTTTTGTATGAACTGCTCTAAATAAACAGTATTTCATACAGTCTATGTTGTGTTTTCGTGGAATAGTCTATCTATTACAATTTCTAGCTCTGCTGCTCTTATGTCATTGTTATTTTTGTTTTTTGATTAAACTACATTTGGCCAGTAATATGAAATCTTTTCAAATTTCGTCATCAATGACAATAATCATGTATAGCGCAACTGAACTGTCTCGTTCGCAATCTCAAGTCCGGCCGGTCTGCTTCTTAATCTTCATTATTGACCCCAAGATAAGTATAGTTGAGACAATGTGAAAGATTATGGATGTGATTCTCGTCAAATCATATATAGAAGACGGTAAATTGAAATTAAAACATTTTAACTATATATTGTAAGGACAAATGTATCTGTTTTTTTAGAGCCTATTTCTTGTAAGTAGCAGACTTATTAATACATTTCAAGTTATGGCTTACGTTCTGTTATTCGTTTGATATAGGAAGATTTGAAGCAACTTAGCTGAAGATGTCGGGTTTTCTAGTTGTTTTTGCATCCATTCCTAGTGAGAAGAAAAAAAATGATTATTGGATAATAAATAATTAAGATATTTACCTTTAGCTTTTGTTCGTTGTTAACATCTCTCATTCGACGACCATTCAAATCTCGACAGGCTTCTTTATTTTTTTATATTAAAATTTGCTTACCAAAAGAACGCAATAGTGATCCAAATCCACCCTTAACAAAAACAGACGTAGTTAATTTGTGAGCATATCTACTTTACTCTTTACACTTACCTTTCCACCTAAACCTTTCGGCCAAACTTTGTACGTCAAATTCGTTCGCAGATATTCATTCTCATTGTCACAAATTGGATGACCATTTTCTTCGATAATAAATGTATCGTCTCCAAACAGATTATTGACTAAACTGTAGAGATCATCGACGGTATTCGATTCATCCAAATGAAAATCAAATTTGTTGGCTTCTCCTGATATAAATACTTTAACTGACATTGTTTTCTAATCTAAAAGAACGAAAATGTACGACAGTTATGTTTTTAGTTAAGACATACTAAATGGAGAAAAAAAAGTGAATTAACATCGAGAATTATGAATTAAGACACACATCATTTTACTCATATATCAACTAAATAAACAAATTTTTTCTTTATTTCCAGTGCTTTTTTTTAAAAAAGCGAAATATCACAACAATAAATGATCTAACTTAGCATCGTCAAAAAAAATGGATATTTACATAACAAAACCAAGAGCCGGAAGAAAAAAATAAGCAAATACGCAAAAAAATAAACAGTATGACTAATTTTCTCTTGGCTTTAGATATTTTTCATAAAAAATGAAAAAAATTGGAATAACAAAAACACGAATCAAAAAGAAAATAGGTGCAACAAAATAACACATCAATAATCGACAAAACCAAGTTTTATTCTATGTACAATAACAACAAAACAGTCTTATCTGACTACAAAATTATGGATTAAAACTGAAAATAGTACGACACTGTTAACATAGTCACGTCTTATAGCACAGCATAAGCATAATCTATTCACATGACTAGAGAAAAGAAAACGTTTTGTATGACAAAAATCATTTAGTGATGATAATAAACAAATCACTGTTTAAATTAAAGACATTAATGATAAAACTAAAACAATACCAACTTTATTACTTCTGTCACTGCTTTTTCACACGTACAAAAAATACGAAATTAACTGAAGGTTTCAATAGTGTAACGTTTTTACTTATTCTTACTTAATCTGTATCCCATTCATTAATAGGAATACTTTATTGTATTTTCCATTTCTTAAAATATGCAGTTTCAATTGTTCCTTGATCGTTCATAGAATAATACTCTCTAAGATTTAATTTTAATGGATCGGCTGGTGCACAACACTGCCATTCGAATTTCATTCGTCCTAAAAATGTTTCCATTCCCAATAAAAACATATTTTCATCAGATGGCATATCAACATCATCTTGTATCTGAATTAAACCATGCATAGGTAAACTGTATCCATAAAAACGAATAGTAGCAGGATAGATGTTGGTAGCGAGGTCTTAAAGAAAAAGAAACGAAAGTCAATTTCAAAACTATAAATTGTATCATGCATATTCCCAAGGGGTGTATACTACGATGTTACGTTCTAAGAATTTGTAAGTTTATTGTGTCTGATCAAAAACCAACTGGTACAAAGAAGCACTTGCACGTTGGGAATTTCGCTATGGAAGAGTAGTTATTTTGTTTACAATATTCAACTATCTACCCCGTTGCCAACTCTAACCTCAAACCCTTTTCACGACTTTTCCTGCTAAGGCATCAGACCATGGGTTCAAAATTCTGCGATTTAATATGATTCCTGAGAAAAAGATATAATATAAAAGTATGGATCAGAGACTCTTGATCAATGTTCGATGCAAAGTGTGTAGTCAGTGCTAAAATTATGTTTGTAATATTTGAACGATGTACAAATAATCACCTAACCGTTCCATTTTCAGAATCATAAATTAACTATTACCATTCTCATAATTTCAATGATCATCAATGGTCATTATTTCGTTACAGCACGTTTTCACTACGCATCCTAAGAACAAAATAAAATGTCGCATTAATACTTAGCGTAACAGGTTCAAAACATCGGATATTACATCGTCTTTTCTCTCTGCAGAATTTCATATTTTTTTGTTAGGCGAAATGAGAAAATAGCATCTTATTAATTATTGAAGCAGTATAGTACATTTAATTATACAACAGATCTGATTTAACAGTCAGAGTTTAATCATACTCCTTTACTTCAAGTATGAGGATTGATTTTCAAAATCACCAACTGAAACTTAGATAGAATATATCATCCATTAACGAAAAGAATAGAGCTGCTAAAAATAGGTGTTTTCTTTTCTATTTTGTTTTCTTATTCACGTTTAGTCAGGCTTCATGTAAATAGACTAGACATCTAGCGTATATCGCATCTTCTTCTTTTATTTCATCGTTTTCATATAGATCAAGAAGACGAAATAAAACAAAAGAAGATAAGATGCGATATAGTCTATAGTCCTAGGTCATATATGAAAAGAATAAAAGAATGATACATAGACTACGTCTTATCTGCATGAAGCCTAACATAACGTGAATAAGAAAACAAAATAAAAAGAAAACGTCTATTTGTAGCAGCTCTAATGTTTTGTATATTTTCAGAATACTGTTTCATAAAATAAAAAATTATGACATTTAGCTTAGGGGTGGCACTTTCTCGTTTCTTTCCCAAAAAAAAGAAAAGTAAAAACTGACATTCTTTTCTTTTGGAAAAGGAAAGTTTTACTTTCCTACGTTTCTTTCCCAAAAAGAAAGAAAACGAAAGTAAATATAACCTTCTTTTGTGTTTTTCTTTATGAATAAAGCACTTTGAAGCAAAACCAAGCTCATGTTCATGATCAGCGTGGGAAAAAGGGTGGGGGGATATTGTTTTGGATATATATGAGGACACATATTTTTTATGGGAAAAAAAAAAACACAAGGAC